TCTTGTATTGTGAGAAAGGGAGAAAAGTACCTCTTTCTCGACCTGCTCTGTCCCATGCATCATCTTAAGAACATAAGAACATAAGAGATGTCAATGTTGGATCAGGCCAAAGGCCCATCCAGTCCAACACTCTGCATCATACAGTGGCCAGAAATACCAGTGTCCAGCAGTGGGGCCAGGACATTAGAAGCCCTCCCACTGTTGACCCCTCCAAGCACCAAGATGACAGAGCATCACTTGCCCCTGAGCCCCTATCTATACCTTGTGGCTAATAGCCACCGATGGACCTCTGCTCCATATGCCTATCTAATTCCCTTTTGAAGCCGTCCATGCTTGTAGCCGCCACCACCTCCTGTGGCAGCGAATTTGCAGGCACCAATGAGCCCTTCTCTGCATATGGCTTCAACCCCTCACGCCCCTTGAGGCCCGCTGTTCAGGATCCGTCTACACAATTCGGGCTCCTCATCTCCAAGGGAGAGGAGCTCCTGCTGATTCCACCCCACCGGATCTGGCTGCTTCCACCCAGCCGCTGTGGGATTCGGCGTACGGATTTTTGGGTTGCCGCGGCAACCGAAAAATGCCACCTGCGCGCTGGGGTTTTTGCACACCCCGTTCTGGGTTCCCACGGCAACCCAAAATGCTGATGGAACACTAGTGGTTTACGCGCGCCCCCCCTTTCTATAAGGCCGGCTCAGGGGGTTTTCATACACCAGTTTATAGCTAGCCCTGACCTGGATGGGCAGGGATAGCCCGATCCCATCAGCTTCCATGGCAGAGTGGGGGGATTCGAACCTGGGTCTTCCAGACCCTAGAGCGACACTTCCCCCAGCTTTCCAGAACGTTATAGCACAGTTCTGACCAGCTGTCTTAGGGAGACTGGGTTATCCTTGCAGGAAAACCAGAGTGTAGCCTCATTTCCAACCCACTCCAACTCTAGGTTAGGGCTGTAGAGACGATCTCATGCCCCTTAGAAGTCTAGTGCACCAGTGAAGAAGAAGAAGGAGGAGGAGGAGGAGGAGGAGGAGGAAATTGGATTTCTACCCTGCCCTTCAGTACCCAAAGGAGTCTCAGAG